AAGCTAGAGAAAAGAAGATTTCAAGTACAATATTATGAGTAACGAGGTGTGATCAGGCACCAATCATAAGGGAGAGACAGAACGAAGAAAAAAAGTTGAAAGATCAGCTGTAGACACGGTGTCTAAGATGATGTCCCTCTGCTTTGCGTCGAGAATGTTGAAAGTGAAGTCGGATGGCAAACGGTTGCTAGAAAAACCTCCGACAATGCGAACGATGTTCTAAGAACTGACATGCCGTTGAAAGGGCTGGAAAGTGAGGTGGATCGGATTCGATTTGATTCGATTCGATCAGGTGGGATGCACTGAACGCCTGAGCATCATCTTATCATCTTCAACGCAATGGGGTGACAAGCAGTAGTGTGAAGTATGCTTGGCGCATGCCAGCGTTGACTCTTATTAATCCTTTGACCTGCATATCGGTTCCGTTATTACGAACGTCGTCATTCGCCTGTCGTCGGTCGCCGGTCGCCGGTCAGCGTTAAAGTACAGCGTTGGCTTTACAGCTCCCGGTTCGTTGACTTTCGGCTGTTCACGTTTTCCGACCGGCTGCTTGAACTCGGGGCGACGGTACGGTGATTTTCGCCGCCACCACCACATAAATAATGCATGCATGACGCTTGGATGGTAAATGAGGCGTGGATTAAAGTCGCGAGGAACGTAAAATCTGGCATTTGCACGCCGATAACATCGGATCAAAGCGTCCGGTTGTTGCCTGTTTCGAAAGGTCAGGTTTTACGGCGTCAGTTCGGTGTTATGTTTCCGCAGTTTGTGTTTGAAAAGTTCATTTATCGTTCGGCAGCTGGAGAAACCACTAAAATCAGCAAAGTGCCAAAGCGGTCGTTGACGGCCCGTTTTGCGCCGACGTCGGCTTTTTCCACGTTGAGGAAGCACTCTAAACGTCGATCGATAAGTCTTTCTCGTCGTCTGCCCTCGTAACCCTCCTTAGACTCGCTCACCTACGGACCACGTTGGCGTTAATGGAGCGAAGCCCTTTGTCAGCGAACCGAAAGGCAAAGCAGGCGCCGCAAATCAACCGTAGAAGCCTCATTTGTCCTCTCTCTTGTGACCTCGTGGTTCTGACCTTCGCTTGGTTTAACTCGCGATTTTACCTTGTCCTCGAAACTGGACTTTCCGCATTTACGTCATTAGACAGTGATTTTGCCCTTTACGCCAGGAACATTCGTCTGTTCCGCTTCTGACGCAGCACACGACAATTTTCTTCATGTCCTTTAACTCTGAATGCCAAGCCTCGCGTATAGGACATGGAAAGTGCGCAGCGACCAGACCACGTAGTTCAGCACCAGGGCGACTTTCGGTACAGTTTAAAATATAACCTACCCCGACTGGGTTAACTGTAAAATTCCTTCTTGAAGCAGGTTACAATCGGCCACGGAAACCAAGACCTGA